CACCCCATTCCTGGAGGTTCAGCGGTGTGGAAGGTCCTCCAAGTCAGTCCCTCTGCCTGCTCTTTAAATGGCTTAGTGTCTTTACCCAACATGTGCCCAATAGTCTCAGGAAGGCAGGCCAGCAACTTAAGGGAGGTTATTGGAACAAAAAGCGAAAGGCTTCCCAAATCCCAAAAGGTTTGAAGTCATCACACCGCTATCCATTCTCATGCATTTTGGTGCTGTCTTCAGGTCCTAAGCATCTCCTTCCCTTCCCATTCACTAACTTCTCCAGTAATCCCCCCAGCTCTAAGGAGCAGTCTCTCACAGTGAGGTCTGGGGATCCCGGAGTGGCCAGCGGTGAGGTGTACTTCGTGATGGATGAGGAACAAGGGATGAGAAAGGAGAAGAACCATGGCATGGAGGCTAGAACAGGGCAGGAGTGGAAACTGGGGCATCAAAGTCACTCCTCTGAACAGCACTCACTGAGGCTACAGAGGCTAGTCACCCTGCAGGAGCGGCACGCCTGCTGGAAGTGTACATTACATCTTGGTGGGTATGGCTGCTAAACAGCCTGTGGCACACTGGTGCAGTTACTAGGGAAGAAATAGCTCAACTACCTGCAATCTTGGGAAAGGCCACTTCGAAATGACAGTGACTTCTAAGGTCAACGCAGGACAAAAAGTGTTGCCTCCTATGTATGCGGTTTACTAAATTAGGTCATTATTGGAATGTTTTTAAAACAGACAGTAAAGCAGTGTCCCTGTTGAGGCTCAAAAGTTCTAGCATCTTCTATTATAAAAGCACACTAGTAAATAATCTTGCATCCCTTAGCAGGAGAGAGTTGGGGCTTATTTACTTTTCACAATTCTGCATTTCCTCTAGAATTGGCAGAAGGCTGCCTTGTATATAGCTCAGTAAGTCTATATAGTAAAGCGGGTCTTGGTTGCCCTTCCCCTGTTCCCTCTACCCGAGTGGTGGGATAGGGATGACCACAGCCGTGCAGAGGGCAGCCTGTGGAAACGGTGGCCTACCCGCAATAGGACATTTAGCTGTCACCCATCAAGCCTCAGTTTCCTCGTAAGAAACGAGTCCTAAGAATGAAATAATTCACCTGTGAGTGTGGTACGCTTACTTACACCCTGGTCACAGAAAGACTGGGATTCACCAAAGGGGTCAAAGGACATGGAACTCTAACGAGGAGCTTCCAGCCAATGAGGGCTCAGAGGGGGTGCTAGAGCCAGGCCATTCCTGCCCAACACAAGACTCTTGCAACCCTGCCAATAGCAGCCCTTGTCCTGTATGGCCTACCTGCCTGGCCAAGGCTTTTCCAAAACTGTACAGTCAACCCATGCTTCTTTCTCTCCCTCCCTCTCTTCCTCCCTCCTACCTTCCTTCCCTCTTTTATTTCTTCTTTCCTCAGCGGTGTCCCATAACCTGAGGATCTTCCCACCTACTCCACAGGGATTACCCTTGCATTTCTTACCTTGCCCTACCATCTCTCCCAGAAGACCTGCACTAGCCCAGAATATAAAGTACTGACCATAAAAGGGAAATCCCGGGAACGTGAGCTGTAACCACTGTAATAAGCACCAGCTGATTAAACCACTGGCTCTCCCTACAGCAGGAGCTTGTGATAGCAGCCCTCAGGATGGCTTGACCCCAGTGTCCTCAGAGGAACCTCAGGCTCTACCACCCTGCATCTAAGCACAACAGCACATCTGCTTTTTCTACTGTCACTGTGTGCTGGGAGAATGTCAAACCCCCAAAGTCTGGAGAACTTCTATATTAGCTTGGAAAAGCAAGCCTCTGCCACCCCTTATTTCAGAAAGAGAACACCAGGGGCCTGAGGAACCTTTTAAGGGAAGCTTCAGTGAGAGCCTTCGTTAAACTGTCTTTCCTGAGAGAGCTGTGGGTCAAGTCATTATCTTCTATCTAGTGTGGTTTTACCAGTGTCTTGGGTCGTTTATTAGTCTTCATGAGGGAATGACAGTCCAGGCAGTAAGGGACATTTGGAATTAATGACAACATGCACCAGCCTGCAGCCCTGAGGCATGTCTGTGAGAGCACATGGGCTACTGCTCAGTGGCAGGTCTCGCAGCTGCTGTAGAGAACCTGTTGGGATGGCAGCTGTAAACTCCACTCTCCTGAGATCTAAGAAGAAGGTTCCAATTCGGTGACCACAGACTTCACAGAGGCGCCATCAGCACCATAATGGCTTGTGATAAAGGCATTATTGATGCTTTGCTTGGCACTGTAGAGAATCAACAGTAATTAGGTGTTTCGTAAAACTGCTTTGGAAGCATTGCTGCTTAAAGAGCAGCAAGGTTGGCTCAAAGAACTTCACGATGAAGCCCGCGGCTCGTTTTCTTTCAGAAAGCATGTCCCCCAACAAAATATGAAAGAGGAGTCAGCTTGGATCTGGTTATGCACACAGAGTCCATGGGTGTGTTGCTACTTTAGACCCTAGCATGTTCAGGGTTCCAGGGCAAAGCCAAGAAGGAAAGAGGCAACTCCAGAGATGGCTGCAAGCTTCATCACAGCACAAGGTGACCGGTGACAGGGTGCTGGCACTGAACTCAGAGTGCAGCTTGGGTATTGCTGACACAAGGATCCCACAAGAATGAAAGGATGCCCAGTACAGCCACACCCACCACCTCTGGAGAAAGAGAAACCATATCAAACTAATGCTAGATTAAGATGCAGCTGTGATTGTCTGTCCCTATCGTTGTTCACCCTACGGTAACCCTACTTCCATCTCTGTGAGACCATGTTAATCTGCCTTGCAGAGTAGGAAAAGGCATTGGCCTGAAACTGTGGCCACTCTGACGCAAAATCACAGCACTGACCCCTCCCTATCTGTCACTGTGGGTGAGCCATCTTTCTCTGAGGGACTCAGCATCTTCACCTGAAAATGGGAATGAGACAACGAAACTCTGAGAGACAAAATACCACACGTGTGAAATGTCTTAGCATTTTGCCACAACAGATTTAAAATCAATCACAATTGGTCATCTAACATGTGGCAGATACACACCCCAGAGAGCACAATCCCTGCCCTTATATTTATCATCTGCACTGAGAAAGAAGAAAGGATTTTTTTAATATTGCCAACTGTAACAGCGCACTTTAACATTAAAGACTTTAGGCAGAACATTTTAAAAAGCAAGATAACTAAGTAATTTTTATAATAATGGTTAAATTACTAAGTATTTATTAAGTATGCAATTAAGATCTGATGCATGATCTGATCTAATAATTCATATCTGGTCGGGGCATTATTTGAATGCTTTAAGCTGATCACTCCATCTATTCTTCTATGATGAGGAACTATGTCTCTCCCACTGTACAGATCAGGACACTAAAGCCCAATGAAGTCCAAAAACATGTACAAGGTAACAACATCCCATCGAAGCGGCAAGGACTACACTTATTTATAGGCAACCTGACTTCCCAAAATACATTGTAGTAAAAGCTAGCCAGAGAAGGGACCTCTGGGGCTGGCAAAGTTCTATTTCTTGACTCGGGTGGTATTTGTAACAGGTTTGATTCATGTGTTTCTGAATCGGCTTGTTTTATTTAGAACTATTTAAAATTATAATATAGTAATCGAAGTTTGCCATTTGATGATATGAAAAAAGACTGGATATGTGTTTTGTATGTTATGTTTTCCAACCACAGGTATGGGGTGATGTTAATGCAGTATCATGATAAGATTTGTTTCAACCGTTTGTAGTGATGGCTCAGGAGCAAATGGAAAATTATATTTTAATTGCGGTAGTAGGTACATTTTCCCAGGGTCCCTCAGGGAGAAAGAGGAATGGGTGTAAGGGACACTTTTATTGTGGCATTTGGGATCCCACCTCTCTTTCGTCCTGCATTTTTGCAAATGATTTTATGTCCCTCTCCACTTTGTCATTTACATTCTCCCATGATTTCTCTTTCTCTTAACCTTTTCCTTTGCTTAACTTTACTCTTTAAAAGTATTTGCTTATTTTTATTTTATATGTGTGAGTTTTTGCCTGTAGGTTGGTACTGGGAACCAAACCCGGGTCCTCTGCAACAGCAGCAAACACTCTTAACCACTAAGCCATCTCTCCAGCCCCAGCTTGGGTTTCCTCTTACCCCATCCTGGTAGCTATCTCCCTCCATCCCTCTCCTGGTCTAGAGAATTTGAAAGACATTTCTTGTGGGTTTTATTTAATATTATGGTAGATTGCTTAGTGTTTATTAAGAATGTCTCTGTGGTTAGCCATGGTGGCACATTCCCGAAATCCCAGCACTCAGGAATTAAGTCAGAAAGTTGAAAGTTCAAGCCTAGGCTGGGCAACACAGTGTGAAACTGTTTCAGTAAAAAAGTTGAGTGGCTTGTGTACAACTTTCTTTCCACTACAAAAATCAAAAGAAAATGCACAAGCCAGGGCCATTTCTTAGCCTATCATACACTAGCTCAGGCTTTCTAATTAAGAAGCTCTACTCCTGGACAGAATCTATGCAGAGAGACCCAGCACTGCATGAAAAGATGGTCCCTTGGAGGCTACACTGCAAGAAGCTAGAAAGAGCATTCTCCAATTTCAGAATCTCTAAGTCCTAACTCCAAAATGGAATCAATCTCTACACATTTGTACTTACATTAAATTTGTAAAACAGACTAAAAATATGATTACCAGCAGAAAAGTGATAAAATATCCCCTGTCCCTGTGAAAGAGACATCTGCAGCACTTACTGGGCAGTGTACAGAGGAACTCCTCAGTGGGCAGATGTTTCAGGGTGCATCACAGCCTGCCCTTCTGCAGTGAGTATGCTAGCCCTTTCCCTGATCAGAGTCTGCTCATTTCATGGTGTCTACCTTCCCCTACTCCTTTAAATTAAAGACTTATTTCATGGAGCCAGTAGAGAGTTTCTGGTACTCCTAAGCTCCCTGATACCAACTCCAGGTTCAAGACTTCTCTGCTCTTTCTTAGCCCAAGTCCAGTCAGCACCTCGGACAGCAACATCTCTCTGGCTGGAGCAGGAGGTACCTGTTGGTTTGCTCTGTAAGCAGGTGGGACTCCTCTGTCCCTCATTTCTCGCTCTGCTTCTGAGAACACTATTTCTTCCTCCTGCTCCTCACTCTCCTCAGAACAGGAATCAAATACATCAGCATAATACTCTTCAGCAACAAGTGGGTCTTCTGGGATCCCTGAAATAGAGAATAAGCAACAATTGCAGTCATTGAAGTCCTAACGTGGTGAGCTGGGGGCCCTTGTGTCCTCAGAGACCAGCACTGACAAAGCTTCCTTGGAGCACAGTGCTGACTCTTAGTTTCCTGAAAGGGTCCGCTAGATATAATCAGCAGTTGGCAAAATTAACCCAGTAGAAAGAGGGACACTAACCTTTGAAGTTAGGAGAACAAAACCATGGGACAAGAGTAAATGAGCTCCTTTGTAGCTTTTACATGAGTCCTTATTAAAAACTAAGGTGTCAGGAGAAAATCAAAGATGAGACACCACAGCAAGGCCTTGTTATGCAACACACAAAACTTTGTAGCAGAGACAGTGGGAAGGAGAATGTGTTAATATTTTTCTAGAAGTTTCTTTTAAGAAAGAAAGAAAAAGGAAAGGAAAGGAAGAAAATGCCAGTAGTGAGACAAAATGAGATGGATAGGATGAAAACAATGGCATTTGGACAAACTGAGGAAGAGATCACAACTCTTTTCTAACAGGCTATGGATTCAGGTTTTCAAATGGAGTTTGGTATGGTGGGCTATATTCACATCCATATTAAGCGTTTATTTAAAAGAAAAAAGGAAAGGGAAGATTATCCATGTAAACTGATTCTAATAACCCAAGTTACTTGGCAGGGCATCAGTAGTGACTAAAACAGAGCTGGTGCCTATAAGAATATCAACAAAGAAAGGCCAAGAGTGGGTTACAGGGGCACAACATCCTAAACTCTAATCCACCAATGAGGACTGGCAATAGACAAATATCCCCGGGATTACATAATGATACTCTACTGCAAGCTGGATTAGGCTTTGCACCACTCTGACTTATAAACAGAATTACTGTTCTTACTTGTAACACAGAGTACTGTTTTTTTAATCCATTGTTACTGTTTTCTATCTGGTGGGGAATTGTGGCATTCAGGGTCAGAGGATTGGGGAAGTGTGGCATTCAGGGTCAGAGGACTGCAGTCTGACTCAACCTCTGCCTACTTGTATATAAAACTCTGGGCAAGATGCTTCCATTTACAGAGCTCAGGTTTCCTCAGTAAAACTACCATAAGGGTACTCTAGCCATGCAGCCAGCAGACCCCATCGTAAGCTACTTATGAAAGCATCTGTGCACACGGAAATGTCACAGAACTTCCACCCAATTTCTATACCTGTAAAAAAAAATGGGATTTTTATTAACTGACTCTAGGATCTTTTGAAATAGAACACTAGCTATAGACTTACCAGCAAAAGAAGACTTAAAATTTTAAAATTACACTTCATCTTTTGGGAGTTTTTGGCATGCTGCTGTATGCATGTGGAGGTGAGATGTCAATGTGTGGGGGTCAGCTCTCTCCTTCCACCATGTGGGGCCTGGGGATCAAAGTCCATCATAGGCTCCTCTGCTGAGCTATCAGGCCAGTTCCCAAAGGAAGACTTTACAATCTTCTCGTTATCTACACTTTCTCTGCAAAAAGCAAGAGGCTACAAAATGAGATCAAAATTAGCTCAATGGCAAAAGTTCTATATATTCCCAACAGTCTTTGATGGTTCTTAGGGTAGGGCTTATACGCTCTGTCACCTCAACCCGCCAGGGTGAGCTGCGCCACAGCATGAGACACACATGAGAATCAAAATCTGCCAGAGGATCTTGGGCTTCACCACCAAGTAGCCTGAGCTGAGAGACTGGTGGGCAGAACCACATGCTTCCTACATAACTCCCCCCACCACACCCTGAACCCCATCTCTCTGTCAGAACTGTCTGTTCTCTCATTCCCTCCTCCTTCCCCTCCTTCCCAAGTCTCTCCACCTCCTTTACGGTTATTTATCTGTTCACTTTTTCATATTTCCCACTTCTGCTCTCCCCATTCTCATCTCTCCTTTACCTCCTTTGCTTTCACACTCGAATATGACACAGTAAAGCATATTTGCATCATTGTCCAGTTCGCAGTAGTGTGCTTATATCATGTACACACTTAAAATCTTTAGGATTAAAACGGAGTTTCCAGGAATAAAGACTTATCTACTCAAACTACATGTGACACTCTGGTATTTTCCATGCTAGTCAGTATTTCAAAATGCTGTTTGCAACTCACAAGCAGTGACTTCTCAGTTCAAATGCTGGCTTCTGCATCAAAAAGATCCTCATGTATGTCAACACTAACAGTGGTTCCACAACACTGGGTACCAACTTAACTTTGTGCATTTAGGTTTTCTCATCTATAAAACATAGATGATTATCTGCTTCTGGGATTATTGTAATAATCAACAGTATAACAGAAACAAGGTATTATGCACCATGTTATGGTACTTTAATCAATAAACATCAGCTGCTGTGAAAGCTGTATAATGTGGCAAACATCTTAATTTTGCCTGTTAATACCCAACACCAGAAAGAAATATATCAGGCAATCATAATTATATACCAAATGCGAAATTTTCGTTATTTTAAATATAATCAGTCGGTATGGATTTTCAGAACTGTCTCAAAGGCACAGTAAGGAATGATGTCCCATTGGCTTTCTTTCTGCAGGCCTCCACAGGGACACAAGGGTACTTCATTTCCTCCCATCATTTGCTTGGTCCACAAAGGCCTCTGAGTTCTCTTCAAACAGCTCAGGAAGACGTGGGATTTTATGGTGAAAGGCCAGCTAGTCAAATTGCAGACTTCACAGACTATATGGTCTTTATTACAGTTATCAGTATTGATTGCAATACCAAATATTTGATATCAATATTCAAATGAAGAGTGTGGCTGTGTTTCCATAAACCTGGCCAGATTATATCTGTACCACCCGGACATTTTTCTCTTGCAAAAAACAAAACATTTCCCTCTTCCCACTGTGCACCAAGAGCCCTGGTTCCTTACCCTCTCAAACCTATGATCTAAGAAGGAAGAGAATGATCATAGGGCCAGATGTATGCTTCCTGTGTGTGACTTGTGGGACAGACTGGGATGGCTCCGTCTGCGATGTCTCCTGAATACACTTCACTACCTTGATGCTGCTTAGAAACCGGAATTGTTTTCAAAAGAGAAAATCAAAACAAATGTAAGCCTGCTTCAACTATGTTTGTCAAGCTGCGTGTTTTTTTGTAGTGAGCCCAATTTGAAGCCTCGTTCAGCTAAGGCTCATTTCTCCTGTCACTGAGGGAAAAACAGACTGTGATAAATAGCTTTAATTTCCTCACACCCTGAAGTCAGCCTCATAACAGATGCAACTGGAATGGCATTCCAGTTTTCTTCTATGCTGGCTGGGCAGTAACAGGGCATACTTATGAAGGAATCCAATAATGGCTGCTAAAGCTTGGACACCAGTGTTACAAATCCATACTGGAGGGAAAGAGAAGTTATTACCTGGTTCCACAGAAAGGGTGGCCTTTGTCAGATCCTTCAGTCAAGACCCAGATAAATCCCTTCTAAGATGACTGAGTACTGGGGTCACCTACAGCACTCTCTAATTAACACACAGCAGCACTAGGTCCCAACCCCCCAAAATGCTGAGTCGGTAGTTCTGGGTAGCACCTGAGAGTGCTTAATTATTTATTCAATGTGTATGTGCACACATGTGTGTGTGTGTGTGTGTGTGTGTGTGTGTGTGTGTGTGTGTGTATGTGTGTGTGCCTGCACACATGCACATATGTGCAGGTAACTTCCAAGACCAGAACCTGCTGGATGCCTTGGAGAAGGAGTTAAGAGTTGGCTGTGTGTCACAGAACATGGGTGCTAGGAACTGAACTCTGGAACTCTGCGAGATCAACAAACACTCTTAACCATTGAACCATTTCTCCAGCCCCACAATTTACATTTCTAAGAAGTTCCAAGCTGATGTGGATGCTGCTGGTATAGAGGCCACACCCAAGAACCACCACTCAAATAAAAGTTGTATCTTATGCTGCACAGAATCACTTTGATCTACACTAGCTCTACATCTTCTGGTGCATCTTTGTATGTTAAAGACAAAACATGAACAGAAACAAACTACTTTAGAAGAGCTAAAACTGGGCTGTTAGTGGTCTCGGTTGCTTCTGATCTCTATGGTGATATAAACAATGAGACTGTCCTGACATTGTTAACAGGGACACAGACTCAAACGGTGAGCAGCCCAAAGTTAGTCTTTATGTCAAACACTGTGCAGTTTTAAAGGCACACTCACAACTACTACTCCATCATTGCATTCACATTAGACCAGATGATGTCTTTTGACCATTGTTCAGAAAAGGAAAGCGAGGGCTCAGACAGGCTAGTGACCAGAGAAAGGTCACACAGATGCATGCACCATGAACATGAAACTAGAATGTAAATAACCTGAACCCTACTTCTGGGTTACTGCCATTTTACAGTGAATAAGGATTTTTCATCTTTGCTGCTAAACCCACTTTAAAGTCATGACTGTCCCCCAGAATCTCTGTAAGACACTGGACAATAAGGTGTGGGGTTTGGGTTCGAGAGAAAGAACCTGGCTCTTACATATGCCAGCAGGTCGTTTCACAGGAGCAGAGAAGAGTAAGTGCCGGAGCCTCATTCAGACTCAACCCAGCTCTCACTTCATTATTTCGGATGAGCTCAGATTTGGATGTGCATCAGAACCATCTAGAGATCTTGTTAAAACAGCCCTCCCCCAAGCATTGCCAATTCAGCAGGCCCAGGGTAAGGCCTAAGATTCTGCACTGGTGATGATGCAGAGAAGAAGGACTGTCACCCTGGGCTCTGGAGGAGAAACTGGCACCAAGGTGATGTGTTAAATAAAAGCTTCTCTGTCGTTTCATTCATTATTAGACCAGATCTTTACACTTCTAAAGTGATCAGATAGACATTACAGCCATAGTTCTCTACCTCCCTAATGCTAAGACCCTTTAATAACCCCCATGTTGTGGGGATCCCCAATCATAAAATTATTTTCATTGCTACTTCATAATTGTAATTGTGCTACTGCTATGAATCATAATGTAAATATCTGTGTTTTCCAATGGTCTTTGGGGGTCATGAC